AGAAATTGGGATGAAAGAAAAATGTTTCTTTTTTACTTCCTTCTATTGTCCATTAATTGAAAACACATTCTAAAAAAAAAAAGAAATTGGGATGAAAGAAAAATGTCTCTTTTTTTCTTCCTTCTATTGTCCATTAATTTGAAAGCACATTCTAAAAAAAAAAAAAAAAAAATTGGAATGAAAGAAAAATGTTTCTTTTTTTTTTTTCTATTAATGGATTCTATGGTCCATTAATTTGAAAGCACAAAAAAAAAAAAAAAGAAATTGGGATGAAAGAAAAATATTTTTTTTTTCTTCCACAGGATCGTCGGTGAAAAAGGCGGAGAGAGAGAAAAAGGAAGAGAGAGAAAGAGAGAGAGAGAGAGAGAAGGCAGAAAGTGGCGGCCTTGCGCCGATGATCGCCGTTGAAAATCAGTCGAGTTTGCGTGCCGGCTCCAGCCTGGGGCAGGTCGAGGAGGCAGCGAGCGACGGAAGTGTGGGTGGCGGCAGCGAGGCTGGTGGTGGAGCCGGCCCAACCACCAGCTCGGTGCCAGGTGAGAGAGAGATAATTATCTCGCAGATTCGCATCAGACAGATCGTCCTTATTAACCCTTTGCTCTCCAACGGTCACCACTTGAGTTGACTCTAGCGATGACTCTCCATTCTTATGGAGGATTGGCAATTTGAACGACGACAATATTTATTTATGTTTGATTTTTTTAGAGTATCGTTTTATAAATAATTAAATATATAGTTTAATAAATAGTTTTTCATAAATAGTTTCATATATCGTTTCCTAAGTTCTTTACGCATAATCTTATGAGGTGTAATCTTATCTTATGAGCCTGAGCCTGGAGTTGCTGGTTCGAGCGAAGGCCTGGAGTGCAAAGGAGGGTTAAAAAGGCGGTATACTCTTACGACCTGCAAATACCCCGTTTCTGAAACAGATGGAAGATTAATTTTATCTTGCTCTACTTAAAATTCATGAAGCCATAAATTATAATTATAATGTTATAAATTAAACAGAGATAAAAGATATATATATATGAAGCTAAAAGTAGGATTTTTAAAAGAGGAGATGTTGGAAAATTCTCTTTCAAAGTTTGTTTCAATTGAAATGAATATTAACAGAAGAGGGGGAAGAAAATATGATCCTTGTTTCTGAAACAGATGAAAGATTAATCTTATCTCGCTCTGCTTGAAATTCATGAAACCATAAATTATAATTATAACGTTGTAAATTAAACAGAGATAAAAGGAAAATATATATATATATATATATGAAGCTACATGAACCTAAAAACAGGATTTTTAGAAAAGGAGACATTGGAAAGAGAAATTTTGAAATTCTCTTTCAAAATTTGTTTCAATTGAACTGATTATTATATTAACAGTAGAGAAGGGAAAAAAATATTTCTGAAACAGATGAAAGATTAATCTTATTAATCTTAACTTGCTTTGCTTGAAGCCATAAATTATAATTATAATGTTATAAATTAAATAGCGATAAAAGGAAAATATATATGAAGCTAAAAGTAGGATTTTTAAAAGAGGAGACGTTGGAAAGGGAAAATTTGAAATTTTCTTTCAAAATTTGTTTCAATTGAAGGAAATATTTCTGAAACAGATGGAAGATTAATCTTATCTTGAAATTCATGAAACCATAAATTAAACAGAGATAAAATATATATATATATATATATATAAAGTTAAAAACAGGATTTTTGGAAAGGGAAAATTCTCTTTCAAAATTTGTTTCAATTGAAATGATTATTATATTAACAATAGAGGAGAAGAAAATATTTCTGAAACAGAAGAAAGATTAATCTTATCTTGCTCTGCTTGAAATTCATGAAACCATAAATTGTAGTTATAAATTAAACAGAGATAAAAGGAAAAAATATATATATTAAAAACAGGATTTTTAAAAGAGAAGGTGTTGGAAAGAGAAAATTTCAATTGAAATGATTATTAACAGAAGAGAAGGGGGAAGAAAATTCACTACATTCCCTTTTATGAACAGGTGTAATGAACAAGGAGGGGCAGGAGGGAGAGGTGAAGAACGAGAACTGTGGAAAGGAATCAACCGGTTCAGTAACTACACCTAGCGGCGTAGTAGGGGCGGCGGTGTCGACGGCGCCCGCGGAGGCTTCGACGATGCCTGGTGGAGGCGCTCGAGGCAGCGACGAGGAGGAGGAGCAGGAGGAGGAGGAGGAGGACGTGGAAGTGGAGGGTGGAACGGCGCAGGAGGCGGTCGGTGGCGGTGTTGTGGCGAGCGATGGTGGGGGTGGAGGCGGCATGGCCGGCTTTTGGAGGCAGAGCAGACCCTCCAGTCCCCGCATGCCGCCTCCGGAGCAGCCGGAGCTAACCAGGCCTAAGAGCCGACACGAGCCGGCTCCCGCGAGATACAACAACCTCGGTTATTGGAGAGCCAGGAGAGTCACGTTCTATAAAAATGGCGACCCATATTTTCCTGGTATCGAGTTCAGGTAAATCCCCCTTTCTTCCTCCTCTTCTTTTCTTTCTCTCTTTCTCTTTACCTTCAGATCTTCCTTTCGCTCACCCTTGCACCTGCAGGTGGCGGACTCTCCACCCTTTCGACCTTGATTTTGGCCCGATATGAATGGGATCCACGATCCACTATATCAACGTCGTTTTCGATTTCGATTTCGTTTCATCATCTCGAAACCTTTCGTAAAACTAAAAAGAATTTTGTAATTGTTTCTTTCTTATTGTTACGAAGATACGATGATGATTTAATAAAGTATATATAAATATATATATATATATATATATTTTTGTACCAAGGTTCAAACCGGGAAGGGACATCGGCTCCTTGGAGGCGTTGCTGGACAGGCTGTCCCTGCGGATGGATCTGCCGAGAGGGGCGCGACACATCTTCTCCATGGACGGTGACAGGAAGCTCACCCTGGACGAGCTCGAGGACGGCGCCTCGTACGTCGTATCCAGCTACAAAACGTTCAAGGTGAGCGAGAGAGTGGTTTCTATTTATAAATATCGATAATACACGCTCAGATAAAATCTTAAACCTTGTTGAAAATTGTTGGCAACACCATCGACGAAAAAAATATTATGGTGTTTAAGATTAAGGAAAGAGGGAAAGATTGTTTAAATTGGAAAAACTGGGTCGTTCGATCTGATACATTGCACGAAGAAGAAATAAGGTCCTTAAGGCATCGCGTGTGTGTATGTGTGTGTAGATCGAATCTCTCGTATGGTAACAACTCCCCCCTCCCCTATTGAGCCAATCTCATTAGAGAGGCCGGCGATAATTCAGCAAGGACTTGCGAAAAGTAAATATCTTTCACTTGGGAGTGGCCGTCGTATATATAATTAAAACGAGAACCAGAGAGATGTATATATGCACACTTATACACGCGTAATACTTAATATTCATGAGCTACAACAACCTGTGCACCGCGAGGAAAGTAACGCCATTTTCCACAAATGAATGCGCTGTTGCCGCGTGTGACATACATACAATTAATTGCGCATACGTATGAATATAATATCAATTTATAAAAGGAGTTAAGCAAAAGGGGAGCGGTTTAAGTAAGCTGATTAAAAGCGATTTATTAACAAAACCGCGTGTATTGTTCTTGACAATACTTTTGTGTGTATCTGGCCCAGATCAGATGTTTAAGAAGGCCGCACGCAACATCAATCTACCTGAAAAGAGAAAGAAAAAAAAAGAGAGAGAGAGAGAGAGAAAAGAAGTAAGAGAAATAATTATTTCTTAGTATTACATGAAATTATTATTTCGCTTTACCTTATCAATTATCACAACACGTGGATCGTGTGATGTACACAAGTTATTTTAAAAAAGAAAGGAGTGGATTGGAAAAAAACGATCCAATTAACGGGAAAACCTTTCGGTTCGATTCACCTGGAGGGTGTTCTCATTATTTTTATGAAGGTGCCGATAAGAAGAATTGGATATCGTTTATCGTTGCGTCACGAGGGCTGGCCCACGCCCCAATCTGATTTCCAACTTTTAAGGTGTGACCATATATATATCAGATATACAATATCGTCGCAGTTTCTAGCTTCCCGCCTTGTGTACGATCCCGTTATTTCGATCGTGGTCTCGTATCAGGTCAACCCTTAATCCGGCAAAGTGGTCAAAGCTTATATATATATATATATATATATACGTATAATCCTATTTGCATGCCGATCCAGAATCACACACCCATGACCCATATATCCTATATTATACATTCTCGCCACCACCAATAATATCCGAACAGAATGATAAGGCCTTACCTTGACCCGTGTATATCTCAAGAGAGATAGATTTGATCAATGATGATTAAGATTAATTTAATACGACGAAAAATTCGTATTAAAATTGAAAGGGAAATATAAAGGGATGTATGATCGATATCGTGATGTTGTTTAACGCGGAATCGTGGAATTTCTGATGTCAGTGTAATTCGACTATTGTTTACCAAAGCCACGTGGCACGGAAGATGGACGTCTCGTGTATGTGAATCCGCGATTTCGTGGTAGGGATGGGAGCGAAGAGTGGTGGAGCAAGTGTCGCTACAGGGTTGGCCAGAGAGAGGGGTGAAAAGAGGGCTGGCCAATTGGCGGTTTGCGGTTGCGCACCAGTCCACCCTCTTCTGTTTCCATTCTCTCTCTCTCTCTCGCTCACAGTACGCATATCCTATATATTTTGCTCATTATCGTCTCCCACTCGTCTGCACACTCGCATCCTCCTCCTCCAAATTACCGATACATCATTTCTTCGTATAACGATTGTATCTTTAAAATGGATTCCTCGGTTTCTTCACCTCGTTCATGACTTCAATTTACTTATACGCCAAAAAAACTTATCCCTCTTCTGATCTTAGATTAAAAACCAAGGATTGGATAATTTGGATAATTTGTTCGTTGATTCCCCTTTCTGGGTGTGTGTACAATTTTTTATCCTTATTAGATCCTCTCTGTAAAATTTAATCAATTTTTTTTTAATTCTTTGAATATATATATATAATATATAATATAATATAATATAATAATATATGTAATATAATATAATATAAGAATATATATATATATGTGTGTGTGTGTGTAATTTCTCTGAAGACGCATGAATCACGATGTAGCGTGAGGGTTAATGGTGGGGAGGGAGAATAGGTTCGTATTTCCGTTAAGGAGACCGATGCAGGGCTCTCGAGTCGTAGGGCAGGTAGCAAGGGAGAGAGAGACCGTATCTCATTGACCGTTGGTCAGCCCCGCAAGGGATCAATAAACAGGTTCTCACACGGACAATTCACAAACTGCGTTCCGTCGTTTCTTGACGGCAGGCAAACTGACAAAATTTCACTCCTTTTTCCTGCAAAACGTAACGATGTAAATATTTAAACGGTGGGAGCAATGACGGTTACGATTTAAGTAATTTATACGATTGCAAATTGTAACGAAATAATGGCACAGAATAAAGAGGTATGGCACTATGAAAAATTAATGTTTCGGGATAATGGAAGCGGCGAGGAAGATATAGCGTCGATTATAGCCGGCTGTGAGTTAATGCAATCAATTATATGTTCTGACCGTCTCTCGCAACGGCGTTACTACTGCGGTCGGAAGTAACAGTTTATTACTACTGCAAACTCCCCGTAGCAATACGTACGTAATATACACACGTGACAAGCGTTTGTCGAAACTCGATGCCATCGATATATCGAGTGATCGAGCGATCGAAAGATTTGGACACGTGACAGTGACGTGGAACAAATGACCAATCGGGCATCGATGTCTCCGTCACTGCTTAACCGTTGCTCAGTCTCTGTGCGCAGTATTATTTCGCAAACGTTTTTTATTTTTTTGTTTCCTCTCCAACCTTTTACTCTCATTTATTTTCCTTCCCAATTATTTAGCCTAGTCATTAAAAAGTAAATAACGTATCAAATTACAAATTACAAAGATTAAACTTTTTCTTTTTTCTAAAAAAAATATAACTTACGTTATTAGTTTGCCTTATCATTACAAAGATTTCTATCTAGAATTATACACCGTTTTTTTATATTATTGATTGTACTGTGATTAATTCCACGGTCGTCATATAAGTTAGCAATAAAAACCAATATATACCTGTCTTTCAAGCAGTGTTTCACGTGCGGCTGAACGATCGCCAGCGATTGTTTCTTTTTTAATCACCTATGGCATGTTAAACGTGGGGACGATCCGTCACGCACGTTCCAACTTTGTTCTTCATTTTCATATCGCGCCTGACTTCGCCGCGATAACGAGTCCTCTTTTCTTTCTCCCCTCCTCCTGTCGGTTACACTTACCGACCGTGCACACGTTTTTACGTTCTCTGTAAGTTCATAAACGATATTATAGCTAACTTCTTACGTTCACGTAAGAAATAATTGTCGAGTAGTCTAAAATTCGTGTCAGCCACCCTCCAACGTGATATGTCACGAACTCGAACGGCAGACAGAAACTTGCACGTATCTGGCCTACATACATCACGAAATTACGAAGAATACCTTTCTTAAAATCGTTGTTACATAAAACGCGATCGTCGTTGCGTTTCTTTTTCTTTTTCTTTTTTTAAATGTTTCACGCGAGAATAATTCAAGGAACGCATGACAGGAAAGAAAAAAGGGTTTCGATAAATAATCTCGGTGAACCAAATATCGCCATTTTCTTCTTATCGGTTTTTGAGCCGACCAACGTATTGCATGCTTGGTTGCAGATTAATTGCATGTGCTCGGCGAAGGGGAACGGAAGGGAAGTGAGAAAGGTGGATGGAAAATATTTGCGACGATAAATCCCTTTTAAGCTCGTAAATTTTTTCGATATTCTCGTTCCAATTTTTTTTTCTTAGATGCTTGTTGTTTTCCGTTCTTCTTACTTCGAGCTGCATGACTGACGGCAATCCACTTTAATTGACATTATTACGTCGATCCTGTGAGCGATATACTCGAAGTTATCGAAGTTAATTACGCGGCCATTCGATCTGATCCCAAAACCGAGACTATAGAGTTCGCTAGCGAGCAAAATTTTCCATCGAGACTCCTGCCCTCTCGCGTCGTCGAATCAGAATCAGAAATTTCGTAAAAAACTAAAAGATCGAATATAATAAAGTAATAAAATTCTTAAAATTAAAAATATTATTATTTATCCCACGAAAAAACCACGCGGAATCGAACGAGAGAAGTTGAAAAGCGTCACCTACTTTCTTTCTCTCTCTTCTTTCCCGTTCAAGCTCCCGTCTGTCACGAAATACGCAGATTCGTGTTTCCCTGCTTCGCATTGTGTAATCCACGGCGATCATTTATCGCCGGTTGTCACGCTGAATATGTATGAGGTTTGAATTCGAAACAAATGAATTTCGGTAAGGATCGATTAGAGAGATAGATAGATAGAGAGAGAGAGAGTAGAGTGTTTCGGGAAAACCTACCTATCCGATCCTACCCTCCCTCCCGTTCCCCCCTCCTCCTGTGCGTACTACAAACTCCACACACGTTTTCTCCACACGTGAATACCGTGTATATACCCCGATATGTAAATCACTGCGGCATCCCGTCTGTATGGCATTCGTTGCCTTTTAACCAGACCGCTTGGCTACTACGCTTGTCGCAGAACGTTCGCAGGACAACTACCCTGTGTTTTACACCTCCCCCTCCTTTCTACTCGCTTACTCGTCACGCACCTCCTGTAATATATGCCGATATACGGGATTTTAACTTCTTCTTGCATGCATAAGCGACATCGCCTGATTTCTAATCTAAACGTGGAAAGATACAAAAATAAAGGCGATTCTTTATTACGTTTTTTTACTCAGGAAAGGAATTTCTCTTAAACCTTAATAAACCTAACCTTAGTTTTTGGATCCCAAGTTGAAGAATAATTCACTTTCTATAGTGATTTAAATTGGAATTTAAATAGGAGGAAAGAATCTATTTAATTAAAGAAAGGAATAATTTTCTTTCCCTTCGTATTAACAAATTGTATTCGTTCAATGACGATTCAATGATTTTTATATTTTTTATTATGCATCGTATTTTAAATCCAACGTGATATACGAAAAATACGTATGTTCCTTAATTCTTAACGCACGAAAGACTTTTACACTTTAATAAATAATTCTTATATCAACATCTATCTTGCACGAAACTAATAGCGAAATCATACTCGAAAGATCAGTGGTTGCACTAAAGATCGCGCGATAAGGAAGGAAAGTAAGAAAAATGTTAACTGGACCGATCGAATTAACCGGTGCTTATCGGTGCAACTGGCGCCTTATCACTTTGGCCAATTAAATGTATATGCGCCGTTGTACACCTTGTGTCGCAAATATACATTTTTCTCTTTCTCTCGCGATATAAATTTACGTCGCAATAGAAAAAAAAAAAAAAAAAAAAAGGA